TCTTTCCCTGAACTCCCTTCCTGTCATTTCCCCAAATAGTCTTTGCCTAGCACTTAATCTAAGTAACTACCTGGACTTTCTGTATCACATAACCATATTTGGTTATCCACCAGCTCTCATAATCTGATATTCCCTGTTGGTGTATTTGTTTGTTAACAAATTTTCTGCCTTTTACAATTAGAATGAAAGCTCCAGATCATGGGGAAAGTTATTTGTCTTTCAACCATTTTATCACCAGAGCTTACAAGACTGCTTGGCATTTAAAGAGAAACAATGTTTCTCAACAAAAAATATAACAATTGTGATTTTAGAAGTTCTCTGATGTGGAAAAAGGCATCTATACTCCCAAAAGTTTACCTTAATATCAGTGAGTGTTTTAGACTTTGCTCATGGAAGTTCACAGTTAATATGAAATATTTATTATTTTTACCTAAACAGACTAGATTTAAGTGACTATCATTTTATGTAGGGTTGGATTATTGTAGTTAATCAGAATTAGTATTATATTAAGCATAATAAAAAACCTAATATTGGGTTTTTGTTCCCACTATTAGAATTGTGATGTTATAACTGTAAAAGTGAAAAAAATGACACAGCTTTAAAATATATACCTGAAAATATAGTCTGCAATAATGACACTAGTAAGTGGTACCTGCTCCAGTTTATTGAGCACGTACAGTATGTTGTGTCTGGTATACATTAGCTTGATCTTCCTAACAACATAAGAAATCAGAAACCACTTTAATTATGAAAAAACTGAGGGTCAGTGAGATTTAATAACTTGTTTTGTGTCACAGCTGGTAGGTACATGGCAAGGCTAGAATTCAAACCAAGGTCTCCCCACCCACCAAGTTTATGGTTATTCTATTAAGCTGCACTGCCCTATCATGTAGCTTAGAAGTAATGCTAAACACTGCACAACTCTGTTCTAACATAATAAATGAAGCTCCAAAGTATTGTTACATTAAGGGCATATGTCAATAAAATGACTACGGGATAATGGTTGATGCGTTCGGTTTTATGAGAAGTATGCACAAACAAATCAAGTTAAATGACATATAGAATCTCAGCAATTTAAAAGCTGTGGAAAAGATTGTTACAAAAAAGAGAGTTAAGCATTATCAGGTTGAAAATAAAGGAATGGATTACAAGGAGGTCACGCTGGAAGCATCATCCAGGTATGCTCCAACTCTTACGTGAAACTTCAGATTTCTAACTGACAAATTTAGTAGCCCTAGACTAAGAAATCTCAGTCCACCTAACTTGGGACATTTGCTTCCCCTAATTTACAACTTTGCAACCTCAGTAAGGCATAGAAATAATAAAATAAATTCAAATTATTAATAGCTGTATATTATATGTAGGAATAAGTTTCATGATCATTATGATAATTAGTGCTTGTTAAGTGTTGAGATAGTCTGATAGGTTTGACAGTTATAGGTTAGTTTTAAAATTTTTAGTTGGAAATATTAGATGGATATTAGATATGTAGTTTTATTTGTAAGATAAAAGAGAACTCCTTTAGTGTGAGGAAAGTGTTTATTTCCGACAATATTGTTCATTATCTTTGGTTTATAGAGTTTTTCAAGTGCTAGTTAGGTGTGTACGACAGTCCGGTCTGACAGTGAATGTGTTTGAGAGAATCAGATATATTAGATTTGTAAATGCTATTTAAAGGTTACGAGGATATTTAATTTTCTAAGCATATGAATGGAATTGTTTAGGTGAATTTAATGGATTAAATTTACAAGCTGATTGGAAATTAGTCAAAGAACAAATGAAGTGTTCTTTTTTATATTATATATAAAATTACCAAGTTAAAAAAATAGATTTATAGGTTGAGCTGAGTTAAAAAAATGTCATTGATTTACAACTTTATTTAGGAAATAAAATTCAAGTCTTCTTCAGAAAATTGCTATTAACAACACTGAAAAAAATGATTGTTTTTCCCACTGAACCATACAATCTTAAAAATAATAGTATGCTAGTTGGAACCCAAACTCATTCATGCATGACCCACATATGTCTTTTATTTGACTGGCTCATTTTAGTCATCCTAGAGTTGCTGAACTTTCTATGTAATAATCTTTGGACTGACATTGTGGCCTAGGAAAAATGGCAGACAGGTTACCTAAAAGTTTAAAATTTCCTTGATGAGGGATAATGCAGCTACTATATTTAATGCTGGACTGATGAGAGTAGCACTTAGATCAGCTAAGTCAATGATGCTATTATGGTATTCTTCATTTCCTGAATTGCCCTTCGATTTTCCAGCATACCATCTAATAAGTAAATACAGTATATGATAAAGAATTATTACACTAGTTAAGTGAAGTAATTAACTCAAGAATCATATATCTATGTAAAATATTATTTTCTTAGAATTTTGAGTGAAATGCAAAATTCCTTTCCTTACCTTCTATATTCATTCAACTGGGAATAATCTGAAATCATGAATTATTATGCAAACTTAGACCCTAAACTTCACTTTTTTTGCAATTTGGTTTCTTAAATTTCTGTCATAACCATTTTCATTTGAGACACACTAAAACAAAACAACAAATTTGATATGTTAAATACTTGGGATAGAAAATAGATCTCATCAAGAAAGGATAGCAACCCATAACAGAAGATAGGTAAGAGATATTTCATTTTAGTTAACAAATATTGTTTACCTGTGAGCCTGTGGAGTACCGCCCAGGAGTTCGAGAACCAGATGTTTTCCCTGAGCCAATGGAGCTCTCTGTACTTTTGCCACTACAACAATGTGTTCGCAGACATTTCCCATACTCTTTTCGTACCTAGCCAAAAATGTTAACTTCTGTTAGCAAGTAATTCATTTCAGCTAGGAAATGTAAAATGCATGTGTTTTATTTTAGATAATTAATATAAAATTTTTTTGCCCTACAGATATAAAAAGTCTGTTCATCATATATTTTATACATTTTTCACAATATAAAATAATATTCATACTGTCAAGATTGAAATTTTGCATAATTGGAGCCTTTTAAAACACACAAACACACATATATCCAATCACACTATAATGATACAGTCTCAGTTGGAAAAACAAAAACTTAAGACTCTTCAAGACACTATTTTTAGCTTCATAGATTTGATATGAAGTAGCCTATCTAACTCTTTCTCCATTCCCTCTTCTCTCTAACTTCCTCACTAGAACAGTTGTACTTTTTTTTTTTTTTTTTTTTTTGCGGTACGTGGGTCTCTGACTGTTGTGGCCTCTCCCGTTGCGGAGCACAGGCTCCGGACATGCAGGCTCAGCGGCCATGGCTCACGGGCCCAGCCGCTCCGCAGCATGTGGAATCTTCCCGGACCGGGGCACGAACCCCTGTCCCCTGCATCGGCAGGTGGACTCTCACCCACTGCGCCACCAGGGAAGCCCAGTAGAACTGTTCTTTAGGCAGAAGTGTAGTGAGGAAGTTAGAGAGAAGAGGGAATGGAGAAAGTAGGAGAGGGAGAAAGAGAGGAGAGAGAATATTTAAAGACAGAACAGAAAAAAAAAGGAATGTGTTGGGCTAAGCATTTTTTAAAATTTTATATTTCTCTGAAGTTTATTTCTCTTAAAAGAGGTCAAATCTGCAACTTGAGACTATAAAATATTCTCAAAATATTTTAAATTCATTCCTTCAAAATAGTTCTATTCAATAATTACAGAGAAATATGATTGCTTTTCTATATAGCATCGTGACTACATTATTAATCCTTGCTGTTGTATAAAAATCACAGGATAAAAGGAGATAATCATTTCTTAGCTGATGTTTTCAAACAGGAAAATATATCAACAATTTTGGGGAAAACTTTGATCATGTTTATTTAAACATTTTTATTACTGCCTATTTAATCAAACAAGACATACAAAAATAAACAGTAACTGTTCTAAATCTCACCTCCACTAGCAACATCAAGAAAAATAATTACCAACTACTTGTCCATCAATTAAAAACACATTCTAGGATAACTTATTGGTTTTATAGTCACATATTTTACATTCATTATGAAATAACACTGTATATATGTTATTCTTAGCACTTTATTGATTTCACATGAGTTCATAGTTTCCAGAGATTGTGACAATGTAATATTATTTAAAACCAAGTTATAAAAACATGCTTTTTGGAGAAGTGTTATTTAGAATCAGAAACAAACAAAAAAAGTAGTGTGAATGACACATTAAAATTAGTATTTGAAAAAAAATTATATCTTAATATATTAATATTCATTCTATCAAAGATATAGCAAAATCAGAGACTGACTATATTCAGATTTGTTTGAAGAACTCACATTCATTAAATCCTTATTATGTGATAGGAACAATGATACAGAGTGAGGTGAATCAAAGCATGGAGGAGGAGAGCCTGATAGGAAGTGGGTAGGCAGACCAAGGAAGGCTTCTCAGAGAAGAGGACTTCTTCAAGCTATCTTTAAAAGATAGGTTGGAATGTGTTGGTTTAGAAGATCAAGTTGAAAGAATGGACAGTTAAGAGAAAAAAGGCATTCAGTGAGAACAAAACAGAGAGGCATGATGTGCTAAGCTTTGAAGCCTTTCTCTGATTTGTAATGTCAGAATTACATATTATTTAATATATTTAAGTTACATTAATGTATTCCAACCAACCTCTTCTATGCTATATTTCTCAATAATTAGAAATAATTATTTTTATTCACTATTTACAAGCCAATTCATATTTTGTTTATTTTTTAGAAGAAGTAAGTTTGTGCCCACCTGTGTGTGTCCAAGACATGTGTAAGTTTTGGGGGGATGAGATGAAGAAGCTTCTACTTTTTAATCACTATTTGCTAGGAACTATGCTAGGCTCCTCCCTCAAAATGATTCTGGGAAGGGTTTCCCTGGTGGCGCAGTGGTTGAGAGTCCGCCTGCCGATGCAGGGGACACGGGTTCCTGCCCCGGTCCAGGAAGATCCCACATGCCGCGGAGCGGCTGAGCCTGTGAGCCATGGCCGCTGAGCCTGCATGTCCGGAGCCTGTGCTCCACAACGGGAGAGGCCACAACAGTGAGAGGCCCGCGTAACACGAAAAAAAAAACCTCCTATAGGAAATATGATTGTTAAATGTCCATAAGAATCAATACTGTCTATAGATTCAATGCAATCTCTTGAAAAAATTTCAATGATATTCTTCACAGACACAGGGAAAACAACTCTAAAATTTGTACAGAACCACCAAAGACCTCAAAGAGCCAAAGCAATCCTGAGAAAGAACAAAGATGGAGGTTTCGTGTTTCCTGATTTCACACTATACTACAAAGCTAGAGTAATCAAAGCAGTATGGTATTGACATAATAGACACATAGACAATGGAACAGATGGAGAGCCCAGAAATAAACCCTTGCATATATGGTCAACTAATATCTGACGAGGGAGCCATGAATAATTAATGGGGAAAAGACAATCTCTTTTATAAATGGTATTAGGAAAACTGGCTAACCGCACGCAGAAGAATGAAATTGAACCCCTATCTTATACCACCCACAACATTTAACTCAAAATGGATTAAAGAATTAAACATAAGACCTGAAACCACAAAACTCCTAGAAGAAAACAGGGGAAAACTGGACATTGGTTTTGACAATAATTTTTTGGATACGACATCGAAAGCACAAGCAACAAGAGCAAAAGTAGTAAGTTGTACTACATTAAACTAAAAAGCTTCTACACAGCAAAAGAAACAACAGAATTTATTGGCAATCTACAGGATGGAATAAAATATTTGCAAATCATATATCTGAAAAGGGGTTAATACCAAAAATATATAAAGAACTCATACAACTCAGAAGCAAAAAAACCAAACAATCCAATTTAAAAGTGGACAAAAGAAATGAATAGAAGTTTTTTACCTAAGAAGACATACAAATGGCTAACATGAAAAGATACTCAACATAACTAAGTAGAAAAATGCAAATAAAATCACAATGAGATATCACTTCACATATGTTAGAATGGGTAGCATCAAGAAGACAAGAGATAAGTATTGGTGAGGATATGGAGAAAAGAGAGCCCTTGTGCACTGTTGGTGGGAATGTAAATAAGTACAGCCATTATGGAGAACAGTATGGAGGTTCCTCATAAAATTGAACATAGAACTACCATATGATTCAGCAATCCCAATTCTGGGTATATATCCAAAGGAAATGAAATCAGGATCTTGAAGAGATGTCTACACTCCCATATTCATTGCAGCGCTATTCACAACAGCCAAGATATGAAAGCAACCTAAGTGTCCATCAGTGAATGAATGGATAAAGAAGATGTGTTACATGTATCTAGGAATATTATTCAGCCACAAGAAAGAAGGAAATCATGCCATTTGCAACAATGTTTGATGGACCTTGAAGGCATTATGCCAAGTGAAGTAAGTCAGACAGAGAAAGATGAATCCTGTATGGTATCACTTATATGTGGAATCTGAAAAAGCCAAACTCATAGAAACAGAATAGATTGGTTGTTACCAGAGGTTGGCTGTGTGGAAATGGGGAAATGTTGGTCAAAGGGTACAAACTTCTAGCCATAAGATGAATAAGTTCTAGAAATCTAAGGTACATGATGATGATTCTAGTTAACAGTACTGTATTATACAGTTGAAAGTTGCTAAGAGAGGAGATCTTAAGTGTTCTCACCACAGAAAAGAAAAGATGTTAGATGATAGAGGTATTAGCTATTCACTCTATGGTGGTAATTATTTCACAGTACATAAGTGTATCAAATCAATACATTGTATACTTTAAACTTACACAATGTTATATCTCAATTATACCTCAATTTTTAAAAAAGGAATAAAAGAAAAATCTCCTAAGACTGTTTCTGCAATTTCAAAGAGAAGTATCTGGATTTTTTGTAGGCAAAAAAACGGTGAATAATAATTCGATGTCCATATTCTCTGATGTTGGGCCATGTTCTTGACACCCAATAAAAATGCCACCAAAATCGAAAAATTCAAAACAAAGAATGCATCAAAGAAAATATGCTTATTACTAGTTATTATAAATCATAAAAATAAGCTTCTGAATCAGGACCTCGCACTTTTTTCATGAAGGGCCAGACAGTCAATATTTCAGGCTTTGTGAACCAAGAGGCAAAACCAACAATGCTGTGTGTGTACTTATTTTAAATTTTAAATGCATCCATTTAAAAATGCAAAAACAATTCTTGGCTGACTGCAAAAATTAAAAGCAGCTGGACAAATCTGGCCCACAAACTGTGGTTTGCTGAACTCTGTTCTAATGAACCACAAAATTGAGCTTGATGACATATATTTTTAAAAATTTCACTTCTGTTAAATATGTTCAATATACTAAAAATTCTAGACATGTTTTTGGATCCTGAGGTCTGGTATCTCTACATGGACATCAAAACATTGACATGTATTTGTAATACAATAAAAATAATAATTGGGAAAACTAATAGGTACTGGCTAATAAAAAATAATTACAATCAAAATCATTCATGCACAAAGCACAAAACTATTTTCTGTTCTGTAGAAAACTTCAATATAAACATTAAAATTTAAAAATGCGCTAGTCCAATTTCCAGCTAATACATATAATAATTGATAAAGCTGGTTCCCTACATTTGAAGATGTTAGTATGACTAAATATGATGGCCCAATATTTCCTTATTTATATGGACAAATGCTATCCTTTCCCTTAATCTCCTGATTTTGCACCCATCATTCTACATATTGCTCTTGACAATCAGTTATAGCTTTTTTTCTACCAAAATCTAGAAATCCTTCCAAGTGCTTAGTCTTTCTTACTTCTCTGAAGTGTTTTATAATACTGACCAGTGTCTACTTCTGGACATTTCCCCCTTATCTTTCAATTAGGTATTATCTTCTCATTCTTCTCCTCAAACACTTTCTTCCTTCCATTTCTATTCTTACTCATTACTCATGTCTCCTACTCTTCATAATCATCAAGTGTGGTAGACTGTTAGCTGTTTGTGATACCCAATTCCTCATCTTCCTGGGGTACAAAAAGTAGAGTATGTTTCCCAGTTTTCCTTGAAGTTTAGTTGGTACTATTTATAGTGTCCTATCTGATGGAAGGTGAGTAGAAGTGATGTGAACCACTTCCTTTTTATACAAGATCCTCTCTCTCTTTCTCAGACTATCTGCTAGGTGTCAACACCCAAGGTGGTTGTGGAAATCGAACAGTGAGGTTGGCTGAGCTTTCATTGGGCTGTGTCCCTCCATGAGGTACCCTCATCAATTGTGCAATGAGTAAAAAAAACCTTTATTAGGTTAAGTGATGGCAATTTGGGGTGTGTGTACACTAAGTATTTGGGAAGATTCATCCCTTCCAACACAACCTCTTTTCTAAGTTAATTCTAATCCATTAGATTAGAATCCATCCATTCTAACATCATAAACTCTTTTCTTTTCTGTAACTTACATTTACAGGTCTGAGTCATCAATACTATTCTAGCCTGTATTTAAGATCATGCCAACACATTTTTAATACCTACCACCATAAAAAACTCAAACAGGATAAAACTGGATGCATCTCGACAAGTGGACACCTTTCTCAACTTTTATTTGAGGTTCCCTTAGTCTCTCAAGACAAAAATCGTAGAAGTGGATATCTTTACTCTTTATCTTCCAAAAACAATTTTAGGTCTTATAGTTTCTTTCTTAGAAAAAAAATTTCACTTCTTGCCATTTCATTTTCAGAGCCACCTCTCAATATCTCATAATTATTTTTATTACCTCCATTTTACACATGAGGAAACTGGGGCATATAAAGGTTAATTAAGTGGCCCAAAGTCACATAAGCCTTTAAGTAGATGAGCTAGGATTCCGACCCAGTCTTGGCTCAGGGGTCTATATGGTCAAGAACTACAAAGACCACATTTATAATAGAGTTAAACAGTGTAAAATGAGAAAATTAATCTTGAGATTAAAAAAAAAAAAGCAATGTAAGTATTTAGTTGCTAAAATTAACTTTGAAAATAAATATTTTGGTCCTTATAGATGTGAAAAATCATAAAAATAGACCAATATAAAAATTAAATATTGCATTCTAATCATCAAAATCATAGATTTTATAAACGATGCTTTTAAAGAAATACAGAGATCTTTACTAAGTTTCCACCATTCATTTAAAAAATAAATGTTTTTATCATAAAATGTTTAGATAATTATATTTTCTAGAATATATCAATACAAATTAGTTTTAAAAAAAACAGAAAAATATGTATTTCCTATGCCATGCCATATATGTACATATATATACATATATCCCATGCCTCCATAACATCTTAGAAAATCTACTCCCTAATACACAAATCCCATGTGTCTGCCGATAAAAATATTAAAGACTATAAGGTCAAATCTATAAGAATAGAGTTTTTGTACATTGTCCAAATCAAAATATTTTGATTCTGTTTTTTGCTGTCAAGCACATTTGCCAACTTTTATGCTTTCATTTTATGTCTGTTTTGTCTTTACTATTATAAAAATGAAATCAATTAAGTAATTATTTATTTCTTAGAGACAAACACATCAAAAATGATTTATGTTATGGGTACTTTGCTGTCATAGAATGTATGCTATTTATTCTTGAACAGAGAATTCTAGCTTACCTTCTTTTGTAGGACACAATGGAAAATGAATATAAACATTCCCTGTAGAGAATTGAAAATGGTGAAGAGATACGCCATGATGACTGTGCTTTCATTAATATACATGAGTCCAAAGGCCCAGGTCAATCCTAACAGGCAGAGAAGAGCTATTGCACCTATAACCCATGACCTGCAGAGAGAAGAGAAAATTAAGGGTTATCAAATAATTTGTCTTTAATTAACACAGTCATATTGTATCAACAATACTGACACTGAAAAAAATGTTACAGTTTTATTGACAGAAAATGTAAGACAGGTGGTATAAGTACTTTAAGATTTTAATGAGAACTTACATGTTTTCAAGCTTGAGGAGATATACATGAATGAAAATGCTATAAACACAGAAATTCACTTATGCAAAAGCAGATTTGTACTATTAAATTATTCATGTATTTGCAGCACATACGCAAATGGTATGGAGATGTAATTATGGTGAATGGCAAGGGGGAAGAGTCTGTAAAGCTATGTTAGTCTCCACTCGTCTCATTGGTATGACAACATTTGTTTGATTGGACTCTTTCCATTAATCAAACACTTGTTTGATTGGACTCTTCATCTGATACACTTTTACCCCATTTTTCCAAATTTCCTCTTCTTCCATAAAAAATTTAGGGTTTACAGACAAGAACAGAGGAACCAGTATATGGAAGATTGTATAAAATTTTAAACCTCTATTTGTCTGATTCTATAGTTAAGTAGAACAAGTGTGAGATACAGTAAATGGGAAAAAATAGTTCCCCTCTAGATCACCATCTACTCTTTCAGCCTTTGGATTGCTGTGTCTTGGGTTATGTTGGACTAGACTTTGGATATCGGGCAATCGGCAGCTTTGTTGAAAAGAAGCGCAATTGGTCAGGACACCTTCATGTCTTTGAAGTGTCTGCAAACTCGCGGGAGAAAATGAAGCTGAGAATGGGATGGAGAGGGATGAACAAAGTAGTCCAGAATGGAAGACAAATTCTCACTCTCACTCCATTCCCTTAGTTTCCTCCAAGCTGCCATTCACAATAGTAATAAATGGGTGACAAAAGTCCATATATTTGTAGTTATGTATTATGTATTTACTATCAAAATAAAATGAATCTTTCCAATAGACGGGAATCCAGTAATTGAAAATGGAATCTTCTCAACTTCTCTCTAAGTATATAGAATAGGACCAAAACAGTCTAGATCTCTATACTCTTATGAGCCCACCTTTTCCTTTCCCAGTATACCTTCCTGAACATGGTAATCTAATATTTATTTTTAGCAGACTGCTATCTGCTACTTACATTGTCTAAGGAATAAATATGGGGATTGAAACTTTACAAAATGAAGGGGAAAAATCACATATGTTTACTATAATCCGAAGCTGGGTTTAATAAATTTTTCAGAGAGAACTACGTCTTAAGAAAGATATGTCCCAAAGTAGTCAAATATTATTAAAGTCTTATTAAAATTAATCTCAAATATTTACCATTTTCCTTCTACAACCATCAGCCACTATATTTCAGATGTAAACATCCACTAAATTTAATGTGCTTAATTTAAAACTTTAATACTCTTGAATAAAGAATCCCTAAAAGAAGCTTGCCATTGTATGTGGCATGTTTGCTTATACAAATTAGAAAACATCTTCGATATTAATATCTTATTTTACAAGCAGATTCAGAAGTATGGGAACTTTCAAAGTAAAGCTCTTATTTGTTTACAGGTATTGGAATAAGGAAAAATGGGAAGAGTCACCATTAAGTCAAAATTGCTATTCAGATTTAAAAATAAAATGATAGGATAAAATACTCAAGCCAGCTATTATTCACTAGAAAACACATGATGGGCCCAAGTGTTAATGATATAAAAGAGTGATGAGCCCAACTTCAAAAGAAAAAATTAAGCAAGAGCATGAAGAAGTAAGTGAAATGGTATTGGAGAAAATGAAAACAAAGGACTCTTCACCAGAAGAACAAACTGAAAGTCTGCAGCAAGGTCACCCAAAGGTTGCCAGTCTTAATTACAGGACATGTAATTTTAAAATGTACAAAGGAAAAAAAGCCCAAATATTAGCATTTGTGTTTATGCTTATAGATTAGTACAGACTTGTAGTTTTGTTTTAGAAATTTAAAAGATATGTTCATAAACAATTGGATCAACAATCAAGTGACGTATCGAATTTGAAAGAGACAATTTTGCATATGTAAAGTTTAATTTTTGAAGGAGGTATTTTCCCCTCTTTTGGATATTTAACCTAAAAATTCATTAGTTTCATTTGCAGTTGGGTAGTTTCATACCCCTGAGATCATTTGAAGATATAACACTAAATCACGAAATAATTTTAGATGAATGATGTCCAAACAAACAACAGAAATGAGGACATATGCAACACAGAGGAGCACACCAAAATGAAAAGAGAAATCTATTAAAAGCAAAACAAGTCTGTACCACATGAAATTGCTATTACTGTGGCACTAAATTCAGGTGATATCCAATTAAAAGAGGTGAAGCAGAATTTTTCTGGCAATACACCTGCAGCATATTTATTCTGCATAGAAGTTGTATGCCTGATTATTTTCCTGCACAGTTTGCTCTTCTGTCTCAATGTGAATGACAGAAGCTCTAATGATTTTTCAGTACTGATCTGACAGCTGGTTCATGGGACCACACTGATAAATGGAATTTATCAGCCATTCAGGTCATTCTTACTTGATGAAGGGTCTGTTATCCTCATAGCTAAAGAATGCATAGACATAAAGACAAGAACACCAACATTAGCATTTTATGACAAAGAATTTCATATGAAAAATATTCTCCTGGTCCCCAAAGGCCTCTGTCCCCCACCTCCCTAAAAGGCATCATAAACTTCCCTTTATATCTAAAAGGTAAATGCTAAAATGACCATGAGAACTTAAATAATGAGGAATAAAATCAATTTTACAATACTGCAATATCCCTTATGAGACTAAAATATTCCATTTTTTCATCATATGCTCATATTACTTGTGACTTGACAGAGACATTTATTTCTAAGAGATCACATTTCTCTAGAGAATGAGAAATCTTATGAGCAATCTGGAAAAGGCTTGGGGGCATACTTAAAATGACAGATTTCATGTCACCTAAAGGTCTTCTTATTGTATAATATTAGTAGGTAAGATTACTTAATTATGGACAGTACACTTCTGAGTAATTTTAACTTGCAGATGATTGACCTGAGTTAAATCTGAACATTATAGCTCTTTAAAAATAATCAACCCAACTACTTTAAAATTCTTTCTGATAGTGCACTGAGAAAAAATTTTGAATAATCTTTTGTAGTAATACGAGCAAACAGATGGCACCTGTTCATTATCACTTATATATACTAATCTATTTAGTATCATCCTGATAAAATGAGATCCAAGCACCAAATTAGTAAAGACTAGTTAGGGGATATTTTGGATATTTTTTTACAAACATAGTTGCTACTCAGTGAATTGTGATAGGACAGAAAAGAAACAGAAAACTGTGTCCTCTTTTCTCTTACCTCTTGCAAGAGGCAATAGTTTCTGATATTATGCATATACAAGTAAAGCTCTTAGAAAGGCTCCAACTGTGATGCATTTTGAACAAAGAGAACCACTGATAAAAAAATCCTTACTCTCCAGGGTGATGAAAGGGTAAAGAATAGAGTGAGAGCCTGGGCTTTGAAGCCAGTTTGCCTGAGGTTTACATCCTAACTTAATTCACTTACTAGCTATTTGATCGTAGGCAAAGATTAATTAGCCTGTGGTTGTGTCACTTTATACATATATAAAATGGTGGTAATTTTCTTGTAATAATGAAATGATATACTGTGTATTCAGTGCTCAGAAAAGTGTCTGAAATATTGTGTTTGATAAATATCACATAGTTATTATTAGAGTATTTTCACAATGAAAATACAGAATTTCTTATCCAAAGAATAAAACACCAAATAATAAGGGAGAGGACTGGCAGCATGAACACAGCCTGAAGGGGTTAGTGCACCACGGCTAGCCGGGAGGGAGTCCGGGAAAAAGTCTGGACCTGCCGAAGAGGCAAGAAACTTTTTCTTCCCTCTTTGTTTCCTGGTGCGCGAGGAGAGGGGATTAAGAGCGCTGTTTAAAGGAGCTCCGGAGACTGGCGCAAGCCGTGGCTAAAAGCACGGACCCCAGAGACAGGCATGAGACGCTAAGGCTGCTGCTGCCGCCACCAAGAAGCCTGTATGAGAGCACAGGTCACTATCCACACCTCCCTTCCGGGGAGACTGTGCAGCCCGCCAATGCCAGGGTCCCGGGATCCAGGGACAACTTCCCCGGGAGAACACACGGTGCGCCTCAGGTTGGTGCAACGTCACGCTGGCCTCTGCCGCCGCAGGCTCGCCCCACACTCCATACCCCTCCCTCCCCTCGGCCTGAGTGAGCCAGAGACCCTGAATCAGTGGCTCCGTTAACCCCGTCCTGTCTGAGCGAAGAAGAGACGCCCTCTGGCGACCTAGACGCAGAGGCGGGGCCAAATCCAAAGCTGAAACCTGGGAGCTGTGCGAACAAAGAAGAGAAAGGGATATCTCTCCCAGCAGCCACGGGAGCAGTGGATTAAATCTCCACAACCAACTTGATGTCCCCTACATCTGTGGAATACTAAATAGACAACGAAATATCTGAAATTCAGGATGTGGACTTTGAGAGCAAGATTTATTATTTTTTCCCCTTTTCCTCTTTTTGTGAGTGTGTATGTGTATGATTCTGTGTGAAATTTTGTCTGTATAGCTTTGCTTTCACCATTTGTCCTAGGGTACCATCCGTCCGTTTTTTTGTTGTTTTTTTTTTCACTTGTTAAAAATATTGTTTTCTTAATAATTATTTTTTATTTTAATTATTTTGTTTTACCTTACTTTATTTTATTTTCTTTCATCCTTTTTCTTTCTTTCTTTCTTTCTTTCTTTCTACTTTTTCTCCCTTTTATTCTGAGCCGTGTGGATGAAAGGCTCTTGGTGCTGCAGCCAGGAGTCAGTGCTGTGCCTCTGAGGTGGGAGAGCCAACTTCAGGACACTGGTGCACAAGAGACCTCCCAGCTCCACGAAATATAAAACGGTGAAAATCTCCCAGAGATCTCCATCTCAACACCAACACCCAGCTTCATTCAACGACCAGCAAGCTACAGTACTGGACACCCGATGCCAAACAACTAGCAAGACAGGAACACAGCGCCATCCATTAGCACAGAGCCTGCCTAAAATCATAATAAGTCCACAGACACTCCAAAACACACCACAAGATGTGGACATGCCCACCAGAAAGACAAGATCCAGCCTCATCCACCAGAACACAGGCACTAGTCCCCTCCATGAGGAAGCCTGAACAACCCACTGAACCAACTTTAGCCACTGGGAACAGACACAAAAAACAATGGGAACTACAAACCTGCAGCCTGCAAAAAGGAGACCCCAAACACAGTAAGATAAGCAAAATGAGAAGACAGAAAAACAGCAGATGAAGGAGCAAGATAAAAACCCACCAGACCTAACAAATGAAGAGGAAATAGGCAGTCTACCTGGAAAAGAATTCAGAATAATGATAGTAAAGATGATCCAAAATCTTGGAAATAGAATAGATAAAATGCAAGAAACATTTAACAAGGACCTAGAAGAACTAAAGATAAAACAAGCAATGATGAACAACACAATAAATGAAATTAAAAATACTCTAGATGGGATCAATAGCAGAATAACTGAGGCAGAAGAACGGATAAGTGACCTGGAAGATAAAATAGTGGAAATAACTACTGCAGAGCAGAATAAAGAAAAAAGAATGAAAAGAACTGAGGACAGTCTCAGAGACCTCTGGGACAACATTAAACGCACCAACATTCGAATTATAGGGGTTCCAGAAGAAGAAGAGAAAAAGAAAGGGACTGAGAAAATATTTGAAGAGATTATAGTTGAAAACTTCCCTAATATGGGAAAGGAAATAGTTAATCAAGTCCAGGAAGCACAGAGAGTCCCATACAGGATAAATTCAAGGAGAAATACGCCAAGACACATATTAATCAAACTGTCAAAAACTAAATACAAAGAAAGCATATTAAAAGCAGCAAGGGAAAAACAACAAATAACACACAAGGGAATCCCCATAAGGTTAACAGCTGATCTTTCAGCAGAAACTCTGCAAGCCAGAAGGGACTGGCAGGACATACTGAAAGTGATGAAGGAGAAAAACCTGCAACCAAGATTACTCTACCCAGCAAGGATCTCATTCAGATTTGATGGAGAAATTAAAACCTTTACAGACAAGCAAAAGCTGAGAGAGTTCAGCACCACCAAACCAGCTTTACAACAAATGCTAAAGGATCTTCTCTAGGCAAGAAACACAAGAGAAGGAAAAGACCTATAATAAAAACTCAAAACAATTAAGAAAATGGGAATAGGAATATACATATCGATAATTACCTTAAATGTAAATGGATTAAATGCTCCCACCAAAAGACACAGACTGGCTGAATGGATACAAAAATAAGACCCATATATATGCTGTCTACAAGAGACCCACTTCAGACCTAGGGACACATACAAACTGAAAGTGAGGGGATGGAAAAAGATATTCCATGCAAATGGAAACCAAGAGAAAGCTGGAGTAGCAATTCTCATATCAGACAAAATAGACTTTAAAATAATGACTATTAGAAGAGACAAAGAAAGACACTACATAATGATCAAAGGATCAATCCAAGAAGAAGATATAACAATTGTAAATATTAATGCACCCAACATAGGAGCACCTCAATACATAAGGCAAATACTAACAGCCATAAAAGGGGGAATCGACAGTAACATATTCATAGTAGGGGACTTTAACACCCCACTTTCACCAATGCAGAGATCATCCAAAATGAAAATAAATAAGGAAACACAAGCTTTAAATTAAACATTAAACAAGATGGACTTAATTTATATTTATGGGACATTCCATCCAAAAACAACAGAATACATATTTTTCTCAAGTGCTCATGGAACATTCTCCAGGATAGATCATATCTTGGGTCACAAATCAAGCCTTGGTAAATTTGAGAAAATTGAAATTGTATCAAGTATCTTTTCTGACCACAACACTATGAGACTAGATATCAATTACAGGAAAAGATCCGTAAAAAATACAAACACATGGAGGCTAAACAATTCACTACTTAATAACAAAGTGATCACTGAAGAAATCAAAGAGGGAATAAAAAAAAACCTAGAAACAAATGACAATGGAGACTGTATAGCTTTCTCTGTATACAGCAAAAGCAGTTCTAAGAGGGAAGTTTATAGCCATACAATCCTACCTTAAGAAACAGGAAACATCTCGAATAAACAACCCAACTTTGCACCTAAATCAAATAGAGAAAGAAGAACAAAAAAACGCCAAAGTTAGCAGAAGAAAAAAAATCATAAAGATCAGATCAGAAATAAATGAAAAAGAAATGAAGGAAACGATAGCAAAGATCAATAAAACTAAAAGCTGGTTCTTTGAGAAGATAAACAAAACTGATAAACCATTAGCCAGACTCATCAACAAAAAAAGGGAGAAGACTCAAACCAATAGAATTAGAAATGAAAAAGGAGAAGTAACAACTGACACTGCAGAAATAAAAAAGATCATGAGAGATTACTACAAGCAACTCTATGCCAATAAAATGGACAACCTGGAAGAAATGGACAAATTCTTAGAAATGCACAACGTGCCAACACTGAA